CACTTAGCATAATATTTTGAAGGTTCATCCATATTGTAGCATATGTCTGAATTTCCTTCTTTTCTAAGGCTGAATAATATTCTGTTGCATGTACATACTACATTTTGTTTATCCATTCATCCACCAGTGTACATTTGGATTGCTTCCTCCTTTTGGCTGTTGTGAATAATGCTGCAATGGTGAGGTACAAATATCTCTTGGAACCCCTGATTTCTGTTCTTTGGGGTATATACCCTGAGGTGGAAATGCTGGGTCATAAGGTATTCCATATTTACATTTCTGAGGAACCACTATGCTGTCTTTCATAGCAGCCACGCCGTTTTATCTTCCTAACAGCAACACACAAGCGTTCCAATTTCTCTGCATCCTTGCTAATACTTAACTGTTTTCTGGTTTGGAGTTATTTTTTGTCTGTTTGATAATAGCCATTCGAATGGGTGTGAAGTGTTATTTCATGATGAAGCACCAATTTTTAAAAATAAATTTATTTATTTATTTATTTTTGGCTGCGTTGGGTCTTCGTTGCTGCGTGCAGGCTTTCTCTAGTTGCAGCGAGCGGGGGGTACTCTTCACTGCGGTGCACGGGCTTCTCATTGCGGTGGCTTCTCGTTGTGGAGCACGGGCTCTAGGCGCGTGGGCTTCAGTAGTTGTGGCACACGGGCTCAGTAGTTGTGGCTCACAGGCCCTAGAGCACAGGCTCAGTAGTTGTGGCGCATGGGCTTAGTTGCTCTGCGGCGTGTGGGATCTTCCCTGACCAGGGCTCGAACCCGTGTCCCCTGCACTGGCAGGCGGATTCCCAATGACTGTGCCACCAGGGAAGCCCCAAAGCACTGCTTTTTGATAGCTGGTTCTTTGACTTGACTCTAGTACTTTAAAAAAATTAATTTATTTTTAAATTAGTTTCATTGGAGTATAGCTGATGTACGATGTTGTGTTAGTTTCAGGTGTACAGCAAAGTGATTCAGTTAAACATATACATATATTCATTCTTTTTCATTGTAGTTCTGCAATGAACATTGTGGTACATGACTCTTTTCGAATTGTGGTTTTCTCCGGATACATGCCCAGCAGTGGGATTGCAGGATCATATGGTGGCTTTATTTTCAGTTTTCTAAGGAACCTCCGTACTGTTCTCCATAGTGGTGCACCAATTTAGATTCCCACCGACAGTGTAGGGGGTTCCCTTTTCTCCACACCCTCTCCAGCATTGTAGTTTTGATTTGCATTTCTCTGATATTTAGTGATGTTGAGCTTTTTGGCCATCTGTATGTCTTCTTTGGAGAAACGTCTATTTAGATCTTCTGCCGTACTTTTACGGAAGGCTCAGGAATAAAGCAAAAAATAAATAGTAATAGGAACCCAAAAAACCTAATTATAAGAGAGGGGTCAACTTGGGATTCTACTGGTGTCCTCAACATGTCTAGCCTATTTTGAAGTTCAGACCAAGAAAAGCAAGGCCCAGAAAGAGTCAGGAGTTCACTAACCAGATGACATTTCCATGGTGGGGATACCAACCCCACCACTGGTGAGAGTGTCCTCACTTTGTGGCTGCAACAGGGCATCCATGTTGGGATACAAGACAAACAGAAGAGCATCCTGTGTTGTGTGCAATGGGGTATATTATGTAACATGAGTCCTTTGCCCTAATTCCACATTCACCAGCTAATGTGGTGAATCTAATCTTCAATTTTGTTTCCCAGACTGTGTAAAACTTGTGCTCTGATATGCTTGGCCATTTTGTTCATTATTGTAATTCCACAAATGGATGCTCTGGTTATAAATCATTCTCCTTCACTTGGTCAGCGTGACCGCCTCAGCACTGGAGGACTGTGGAAACCCAGCCCCCTAAATCTGCAGAGCTGAGGGCAGTGTGCCTGCCACCTCCACACGCATCTCAGAGCCGTGCCTTGTCACTTCTCGGGAAATCCTTCCCAGATGGAGCCTTTACAGCCTCTTTCTTGGGTGTTTTTTTCCCTGTGTGGGCCTGATGTTCTTCTCTCTGTCCAGCTGAAGTCTCTGTTAGAATGGGAGAACTCTGCTCTCGGGTTTAGGGTTGAGAAAGGGTGAAAGAAGATAATTTTGTGGCTTTTCCACATCATGAGAAACCAAGTCGATAAGTATTTATTGCATGTCTGATATGAGCCAGGTTTTGGGTGGGTTGCTGGAAATACAGCGGTGAGCCAGCAGGGGAGGCCCCTGCCCTGATGGAAAAGAGACCAGAGGGAAGAGAATGCCACCGGAGGATTGGTTCGTGCGCTCCTAGCATAGCCTGTACTGCGGTGTATTGCAGAGGTCTGTTAAAGTCTCCAGAGACCCCTCCAAAGGGCTCAAGGACAGCCATTGTGTCCCCCACCCCTCCAGTAGGTCATGCAATAACCGTTTGCTGGGCTGACCCAGGGAGTACCACAGAGCCGGGAAGCACCAACTTTAAAAAGTACTTTTCAGCCTATTTACGACTATGTAGGTGCCCAGAATATAACTGGAGGAGGTGGGTGTAGGACCCACCCCTTATCCTCTTATCATCTTTGAGGCAACAGCTGGTGGAGGAAGGATGCCCGCTCGTTAATTCAGCATCTCTGCATTTCAGGTATTGGCTGAATATCTAGCTGTACAAAATATTATGTTTCGTCTCTAGTTTTAGAAGTTCTTCTTCTATTGGTATTGATTCTGTTATTCAGACAGGAAATCTTAAGGCTTGCAAACACTTTTTGTTCCATGTTTTGTTCCTAGAAATAAGTTGCTGCTGGGCAGTGGAGAAGTAGGGAGAGGCAGGGGGAAGATGCATCTAGAATTTCTCTGCCAGCTGTCAGCCACCACGTTTTTGAAATCTGCTGAGTAACTGAGAACTTTCTAGGAAATACCCAGGAAGGCATAAACCTTGATAATGTAGAGAAATTTGGGAGGTGTGTCCTTTTGAGAAGGGAGGAGGAACCCTGTGTGTGTGTGTGTGTGTGTGTGTAACATCTCTAGCCTGAAGTGAGTGGCCAGAATCTCAGACTTCAAAGGTAAGATGCAGGCTCAAGTCAAAAGATAATAGTTAGGAGGAGGACTAAAGTCTAAAGTCCTGGAAGGATTGCCTCTTTAACTGAAGAAAGTAGTAAGCCACACTTTCAAAAGAAGTTGCTGACTTAAAATGTATTCACAGAAAAGGAATCTGCAAACTTGAGAATTAAAGTGACGAGTGCAGGTAGAATGTGGTTTGCATGGAATCTATAGAAAAGAGCAGTGTGCTGGGAAGAAGACCATGTCAGCGTTTGTTAAGCACTGTCCTGGGAGGGGACCTTGGAGGTTCTGATTTTAGGGGTCAAACGTGATTCCTCGCTGGAATGTAGTGCCTTTTAGAAATGCTTTAGGAATATCCAGCTGGCTGTGGTCTAACCATGAGCCTGACTCATAAACTTGCAAACTCTCATTTTCTCTGTTTGGTCCTCCCCACATAGATGCAGGTAAGCTGAGTGCACCGTCAGTTCTGATTGGGTGCCTGGTCAGACCTCTGTGCAATGAGGGAATTAAGCTTCTAAAGCTGTGCTTCTGAAGTTCTGACCTTGGGCTCCTCAGTGACCAGAATGTAGCCTGGCCACACTTTACCTTTGGTTTTTTGGATGTCTTGGCTGGGAGAGAGAAAGAATGATGGGTCAAGAGTGTGACTTCTCTGTTGTGATGGGGATAGTTGTTCCTAGGAATAGAAGAAAGAAAGAGATAAGAATAAGTAATTAATGAGACCTTCATGGCCCAGGTCAGAATGGAGGTTGGCATCCTGGGTGGCATGCCCACTTTTGGAAATTGGGAATTGAACAGAAAGAAGATAGAATGACTGCAATTGGGAATTTTGATCTCAAATCCAAATGGGTCATTAGGTCTGCCTCCATACAAGCTGATCACCTTGGGTCTTTGGGTCTGTGGCACTGGCCAACAGCTGCTTGGAATATCTTCCTGACTGTGTTGTCGGTTTTGTGTGTGTGCACGTGTGCTTATTTTTTATGGTTTATAGGCATCTTTTGTTTCTCTCTTTAATGTGTTAGTCCCGTGCCTGAGTTGGTGGCCACTTGGAAAACTCACGTGCTGATGTCTACCCCTTAACATGGAAATAAAGGTCCAGTTCCAAGGAAACAGCTCCCCTGGCCCATGTACCCAACATGACCCAGCAAGGCTATTGATGAAGAGTTTTTAGTCACTCCATGGGAGGTTCCATGTCCATATACATCTTCCCAAATTCAGGGAGGTGGAGAGGATTGCTTGACCTGTCTTTAAGAAGGCAAGAGGGTGCCCAGGAGTGGTGTGGGAATCTGGGTTGGAGGAGGAAAGACTGGATAATTGAAAGGAGAGATGAAAGTGTTGGGAATGTGGGTGGGAGAAAGGGGCTGTTTAAACTGCCATGAGAGGTGTCTGGGACCTGCTAATAGCCCTCTCTGTTTGCATTTGAGGCCTTCCCTCCCTCTCCCACCCCCGTAAGCTGGCCTAAACTACCCTGTGCACCCCTGGAAAAGGTTAACTTCCTTTTCAGGTGGGGCTGTGAGTTGCAATCATAATTTTTCATTATTATTGTTGGCAAGACACTCAAAAGATCAATTAGTCTCTCCATGCAGCTCCTGGAGGCTTGTTTGGGATATGTTTCCTCTGGAAGAAGTTATTTTTAGTGATACTAATATTATGAAGAAACCTGACATTAAGAGAATCTCAGGAGGGGGTGTGCAGGAGCAGAGTGGGTGCAGAGGGCAGCCGCACACTGAGGTCTGCGTTTCCTGTTTGCCGTGCTCTGAAGAGAGCAGCTGTCTGATTCCAGCACCCCATGAGTAAGCCTCAGTGCGCACCCCCCTGCCTCTCTCTCAGTGTGTGTTAAGGCCCAGACATTCCTCACTGTGATGAGAATATCACCCTCTGGAGGCTGATACCCAGACATGCTGGCAGTTTCCAAATGGTGAAACAGTGCTAGCTTCTGTGTCTGCGAAGCTCAGAAAGGCAACCCTGGACTACGACAATGGACATTATACAAAATCCTGCCTTCTGTTTGTTGTTTGTCCTTGTGCATGTGATGGCCCAAGCTGGTTGATCTGAGACTTGCATGAAAACATTACCTCATGGACTTTTTCAAGGGTGCGAGGTGAAAGCAGAAGCCAGAGGTTCTGTCCTCCAGATCCATCTTTGGAATTCAAGAACTGAGAGGAAATAGCCAGTGAAAACACAAGCCGCTCCTTTTATCTGAAGTCCTGCACAACGGTGTCTGCTTGGGTGGGAGGGGGGTGGCCGGCATCCTATTCTGCTTCCCCAGAGAACCTCTTGTCTCCAGGCATCTGTCAGGTGTCCTCTCTTAAAGGGCAGCCTTTCCACTCTCAGGACCTTTTCACCTATGGTCTCCCTCCATCCTTAAATAGTTCACTTAGAAGAACAGGAATGATGTAAGGGAGAGAAAAAGAAGGAATGAAAAGACACTCTCTCTGTGGTAGGTAAGTGGTTGATGCTTCTTGGTATCTGACTCTTTTACAGATATTTTGCTTGCTAGTTCCTGGCTGGCCCTGTGCAGGTGGTGCTAATGCTTCTTCCTGAGCCGATAGGAAGACCCTCTGGTCCCATGGGCCTGGGCGGCCACGGATGGGGAACCACCATGCACGGACGTGGAGAAGAGCATAGTGATGCTCAGAGCATGGAAAACACTCTCTCATCTTTATTTTCTCCATTGTTTCATGTACTTTTTTCTATTTTCTATTTTTGACACCAGATGAAGCCCAGTGCCTCCCTCTGCTTATTACACTGGCTGTAATGCTGATTTCCAATAAAAATGATATGCTCAAACCAGACTTCATCTTATTTTCCTTAAAAAAAGAGAAATTATTACCATATTTTTGACTTGATGAAACATCATGAATCCCATGATGTATGTTTCTCATTATGATTTTTAAACCATTGAAACGAATGCCTTTTGACTTATTTTTTATTATAGTAATTTTATTCATTTTTCTAGACCACACAGATCAATTAACCACATGGTGAAGTTAGGAACTGGCTGACAGGGGAGTTTGTGTTGTCTAAAGAATAAACCTAGGCTTTTCTATGCCAGACTAGCATTTCTTAGCTTATAATAATAGTGCTGGCTACTCTTGACTGACCTCAACCTGGGTCCTGGCTATGCACGTTTCATGCAACATCACATTTAATCTTTACAGCAACTCCATGATGTAGGTACTGTTATCACCTTCATTCTCCTGATAGGAAAACAGAAGCTCAGATCATTTTTTTCCCATGGCTCTCAAGGCGGGGAGGGGTTGGCCAACTTTTTCTATAAAATATCAGAAAGTAAATATTTTAGGTTTTTGCGGCTCTACTATCTCTGTCACAACTACTCAGCTGTTATAGTGCTAGAGAAGACAAAAGATACAAAAAAAAACGAGGGTAGCTGTGTTCCAATAAAGCCTTATTTATGGACTCTGATATTTGAATTTCACATAATTCTTTCAGGTCATGAAGTAATATCATTATTTTGATTTTTTCCCCAACCGTTAAATATATTAAAATATGTTTCACTTGCAGGCTATACAAAAACAGGTAGTGGGCTGGATTTGCTGATTCCGGTGTAGATGACAAGAGTATGCAGAGAAGGAGAGGTGGGTTAGGATGAAGTGGTAGGAGGAATACTCCTGCCGGAAGGAACGGTATGTGTGCCCATTGCAGGGAGCATGAAGTATTTGAGGAACTGCAAGAAATCCAAGTGTGGCTTGGTATAGGGGAGGAGGCAAGATGAGAGGAAACAGCAGGGCTCAAGCCGTGACCTTGTAAGACATTTTAAGGATTTTGGACTTTGTCCTTGGAGCAATGGGAAGCCATTTAAAAGTACTAAGCAAAAGAGTGATAAGGGCAACTTGTCTTTTTAAAAGATCTTTGGCTGATGTGTGGAGAATGGATTGCAACGGATCTGTAAGAGTAGAAGCAGAAAAAACAGGGTGCTCAAGAAGTGGGCCAGGTGGGTGATGATGGTGTCAATTAGTGGCTGTAGCCAGACCACTTCCTGCCAACAACAGGAAGTCAGGATGGTCGGTTTTGCAGATGAGGAACATGTGGCTGGGAGAGCTGAAGTGTCTTCCCTGGCAACATAGCAAATGGAGGGAGAGCAATGATGAAGACCCTCGTCTATTTCATCGTCGAGGGAAATCAACTCTTGTTCAAATAATAGAAATGCCAAAGAAGATATGGTGGTAATGATTTTATGTTATTTTTGTGCCGGTATTAGGAAGGTAACTGAATCCTTACTCAAAGGTCAGCTTTTCTTAAAATTTGTGTAGCTTTCTTTCCCAAAGGACAATTGGTACATTCTCTTCTACCTTTGGAGGAGTGATTCACCTGGCTGGGCACTCAGAGTCACTCTCTAATTCTGATACTGGCATGCGTCTCTGGGTCAGAGCACACCATCTTTTGGACAATAGAATGTGAGGGGTTGGAGTCTGTTTCTATGGGGTCCAGGACTGGTCTGGGGAAGAATGGAAGAGGGAAAGGTGAGACTCGTGCCTTGGGCCAGAGGGGTGGTGGTGATTTTACCTCAGTTTCTCTGGGGGTTGTGCCCTAATGGCAGTGGTGGGTGGTACTGCCCCATGGGGGGTGGGAGAAGGGGAGCTTCAGAAAGCTCTTGTGGAGTGGGATCCAGTGGTTATACTGCTCAGTGGATCTTGGTTTTGGCTGGTACTTTATTCAGATTTCCCCTTATATCACTGTTGTCGCTTAGTGTTCTTTCCCCATTATTAGGGAGGTCTCTGGAGTCCTGGTCTAGCATCTCCTCCTAGCCCACAAGGTATGGTGCCTCACATACAGCAGATGCTCAGCACTGAATATTGGCTCTGTGCACTTGTCGCCTTTGGTATCCATGCTGCACAGTACAACCTCGTCTCGCAAAGAAGTCAGCATTTTTAAATCTCAGACTATAACAAACAAGGCATTGGGACATCCTGAAAATAGGACAGATTTCAGGAGTTAGCAGTGACCAAGACTGGGGATTCCTCTTCTCCAATGATGTGACTTTTGTTATCCCCTTCTTTTTTCTTCACCCCTATTTCATAAGACATAGGTCGCATGTCTTTATTTTTGCATGGTAGGTGCCCAGTAGAGGTCTACTGGGCTTCTTCTCTTCTGATACTGGTTTTATTTATTCTCTGTAGGCTCTGCATAGGTGGTGATAGGTGATGAGGCTGAAGTCGTGAGCTCAGAGATTTTGATACACTCTCCCCCTCCTTACTTCCTTCTTTCATCAGTTATTGGAAGTCGGTTATGTGCCAGGTACTGGGTTAAGTTCTGGGGGAACAACCATGAAAGAAGACATGGCCTCTGGTTGCAAATAATGCATACCAGTCTCGTGGAGAGAAAAAAGGAAGTAATCGCCACTGGGAATGCAGGCAGCCACGGAGGGCTGTCTCTGACCTGGTGGATAGGACCTCCCTGAGGCCGTTGCCTGCTGACCTCCTGAACGGGGTCAAGGACAATGTGGATGCGTTAACAGACTCTACACTTGCCTTTCTCCATTTCTGCAGGTGGAGATGTCTGCCCAGAGGTTAGTTTCTAACGGGACGTCCCAGCAATCTGCATGTAATCCTGATTACACCTGGGAATATGAGTATTATGAGATTGGACCAGCTTCCTTTGAAGGACTGAAGGCTCACAAATGTAAGTCTTGTGCAATTCCCCATTGTAAGCATGATGTGCGTTTGCTTTAACCTGTGAAATCCCCAGTGTTTACTTTTCCTGAACATTCTTTTTATAGAAATCTGTCCTCTACCTCCAAATCCCTGGAAAACACCCCCTCCAAATATAGGCTCATTGCTCCGGGATGTATAATATGAGCGACGAAGAACTTGAAAGATTCCCTTAGTGGCGGAACATGAATCAAAGTCACTTTCAAATTGAGATTTTAAAAAAATTAATGATGCCAGCTCTCCGAAACCATGTGAACATTTGGACCATCAAAAATGTGTACACAAATAGAATCCGGAACTCTTATTTGAAGAACCTTCTCTTGTAACAGTCCGCAACATCCTTTCAGCCCCGCTGGGTTTCTGGGGCTGTGGAAAGCAGTCGGTTTGTGTGTGTTCGTAGTGATGGACCAGAATAGCCCGCAGTCATTCCCAGCTCTGTGTTATAGGCATGCATTGTGCTTTGTGTTATTGGAGTGATTAATGATCCAGCACAGGGCAAGGAAATATAACTCTATGAAAGGTTACCGTCCACCTCCAGTCATAACTGCCTGCTGACTGGCCAGCATGAAGCAGCTCAGTTTCCTTAAGCAGAGTTGACATGATAAGCAGAAAGTGCTGCCCACTACCGGGTCCTGTCGTGGTTACCCCATAAATGTTCCAGAGATGTTTGCTTGTTTCAGAATGAATGTCCACAGCACCGTAGAAGTCGTAGGTTCTTATCTGGCTCAGCTTAATGGAACATGCTAGGAAATACAAGAGAGACTAGAATTGAAAATGCAAATGTGGCCAAGGAAATGCTTTCACTTCTTTCGTGTTTCCTGGCCGCTGCCACTCTAAGCTGTCTTGGCATTCATGGTTCCTCACTCCTACTTGCAAAGTGGGCTTTCTATCTTTTTCAGCTTCACTGAGGTATACTTGACAAATAAAATTGTAATATATTTAAAGTATGCAAAAATATATTTAAAGTATGCAAAATTTGATATATTTTATATACTGTGAAAAGATTCCCCCCATCGAGTTAATTAACACATCCATCACCTCAGGTATGTATTTATTTGATTGTTTATTCGTTGGTGAGAACATTGAAGTTCTATTCTCTTGAAAATTTCAATTGTACAAAACAGTGTTATCAACTATACTTTCCATGTTATACATTAGATCCTTAGATCTTATTCATCTTATAGCTGAAAGTTTATACTCTTTTACCAACCTCTCCTGATTTCTGCAATCCCCCAGCCCTGGCAACCAATTTTCTAGTCTCTGTTTCTATGAGTTAGACTTCTTCTCTTTTTTTTTTTAGAGTCTACATATAAGTGATATCATGCACTATTCGTCTTTCTCTGTCTAGCTTATTTCACTTCATATAATGCCCTCCAGTTTCACAAATGTTGTCATATGACAGTATTTCCTTCTTCTTAAAGGCCAAATAATACTCAAATATCTATCTATCATCTATCTATCTATCTATAACATTTAATTAATCCATTCATCCATGAATAGACAGTTAGGTTGTTTCCATACCTTGGCTATTGTGAATAATGTTACAATGAACATGGGAGTATAGACATCCTCTTCAAGATAACGCTTTCATTTCCTTTAGATATATATCCAGAAATGGAAAGCTGGATCTTATGGTAATTCTACTTTTAATTTCTTGAGGGAATTTCTTGCTGTTTTTCATAGTGGCTGCACCAGTTACATTCCTACCAACAATGCACAAGGGCTCCCTTTTCTCCACATCCTCACCAACAGTTGTTATCTCTTGTCTTTTTGGTAACAGACATTCTAACAGTGGTGAGACGATATCTCTTTGAGGTTTTGAATTGCATTTTTCTAAAGATTAGCAATGTTGAGCACATTTTCATGTACCTGTGGACCATTTGGATATCTTCTTTGGAAAAATGTCTATTCAGGCCCTTTGCCCATTTTTAAATTGCATTGTTTTTTGCTATTGAGTTGTATGAGTTCATTGTATATTTTGGAATATTAACCCCTTACCAGATATATGATTTGAAAATGTTTTCTCCAAGTCCATAATTTGCCTTTTCATTTTGTTGATGGCTTCCTTTGCTGCAGAAGCATTTTAGTTTGATGTACTCCCACTTGTTTATTTTTGCCTTTTTTCCCTTTGCTTTTGGTGTTAAATCCAAAAACTCATTACCAAGAGTGATGTCAAGGAGCTTACCCCTATGTTTATGACTGTTATTTTGAATTCTCACTAAGATCTGTTTCTGGGGGTTTATTTTATTCTTTTGTTTGGAACATATTCCTCTATTTCTTCAGTCTCCTTGACTGTCTGTGTTGGTTTCTGTGCATTAGATAAAAGAGCCACCACTCCCAGTCTTAGCAGAATGGTCTTATATAGGAAATAAACCTTGTTTTTCAGCCGGGCCTGAGATCTTAGTTTTCTCTCAAACTTGTATGACTGTTCAAGCAAGCTTCTTTGTATTAGTAGCTCCTAGTAATTGAGGGTGTGTCAAGACCTGTCTGTGTCCGGAAGGAGAGGATTGTGGTCAGTGCCTAGATGCAGTTTGATTAGAAGCAGAACCTCAGGCAGCAGCTGCAGAGTAAATAGTTAAATTCTTTCCAGGGAGAAACTGGGAAATGGGCATTTTGTCTGCTCCTTCTGTGCTGAGCCTGGTGGAGAGCCATGGAAGGGTGCTCTCAGGTTTTTTAAGAACTACAGTCCTGTGGGACTCATGGCTATCAGAGCTAGGATATCAGTCAGTCCCTTGGGCAGCAGCTGCAAAAGCTGGGGCATCAGACTTGTATAAAAGCTCCTTCCACGGAGATACTGACAACTTGATTTTTTATTATTGGAGTGGGCTAGAGGGAGAAGGCAAGAAAGTATCTGTTGGCTTCACTGGTCCCTGGGAAGGATCACAGCTGGCCCCTAGATGCCTGATAATTTAGAAGTCTGGCCCTCAGGCATCATCTTCTAAAGTAAGCAGATAAACCCCTTTCAGAGAAAGACTGGGAAATGGGTGTTTTTGCCTGCTCCCCCTGCACTGAGCCCTGGGGAGATAGTCATGTGCGCTCATGAAGAACTGCTCTTTTGTTTGCTGTAACTTGGATTCTCATGGACACAAGCCCTGTCTGCTTTCAGAGCTAGATGTTTAGGAGCCTTGTCTCTCTAGTGTGAGTCTTTTTTTAAAGTGAGGTAAAATCGGTATATAACATTATGTAAGTTTCAGGTGTACAAAATTATATTTTGACATCTGTGTACACTACAAAGTGATCATCACCAAAGGTCTAGTTATCCACAATCACCATATAGTTGACCCCTTTTACCCATTTCACCTGTCCCCTAACTCCCTTCCCCTCTGATAACCAATGATCTGTTCTCTGTGTCTATCAATTTTTTTGTTTGTTTTGTTTGTTTGTTTTAGATTCCACATATGAGTGAAATTATACAGTATTTGTCTTTCTCTGTCTATGTATTTCACTTAACATAATACCCTCAAAGTCTATCTATATTGTCTCAAATGGCAACATTGCATTCTTTTTTGTGACTGAGTAGTATTCCATTTTCTCTCTGTGTGTGTACCATCTTCTTTATCCATTCATCCATTGATGGACACTGAGGTTGTTTCCAAATCTTGGCTATTATAAATAATGCTGTGGATTGGTTCAAGGTGGCAGAGTAGAAGGATGTCCTCTCACTCCCTCTTGCGAGAGCACCGGAATCACAACTAACTGCTGAACAATCATCGACAGGAATATGCTGAAACTCACCAAAAAAGATACCCCACATCCAAAGACAAAGGAGAAGCCACAATGAGATGGTGGGAGGGGTGCAATCACAATAAAATCAAATCCCCTAACTGCTGGGTGGGTGACTCACAAACTGAAGAACACTTATACCACAGAAGTTCACCCACTGGAGTGAAGGTTCTGAGCCCCACGTCAGGCTTCCCAACCTGGGGGTCCAGCAATGGGAGGAGGAATTCCTAGAGAATCAGACTTTGAAGGCTAGCAGGATTTGATTGCAGGACTTCAACAGGACTGGGGGAAACAGGGACTCCACTCATGGAGGGCACACACAAAGTAGTGTATGCATTGGGACACAGGCGAAGGAGCAGTGACCCCGGGGAGACTGAACCAGACATACCTGCTAGTGTTGGAGCATCTCCTACAGAGGCGGGGGGTGGCTGTGTCTCACCATGAGGACAAGGACACTGGCAGCAGAAGTTCTGGGAAGTACTCCTTAGTGTGAGTGCTCCCAGAGTTCGCCATTAGCCCCACCAAAGAGCCCAGGTAGGCTCCGGTGTTGGGTCGCCTCAGGCCAAACAACCAACAGGGAGGGAACCCAGCCCCACCCATCAGCAGACAAGTGGAATAAAGTTTTTCTGAGCTCTACCCACCACCAGTCCCTCCTATCAGGAAACTTGCACAGGCCTCTTAGATAGCCTAATCCACCAGACGGCAGACAGCAGAAGCAAGAAGAACTGCAATCCTGCAGCCTGTGGAACAAAAACAACATTCACAGAAAGATAGACAAGATGAAAAGACAGAGGGCTATGTACCAGATGAAGGAACAAGATAAAACCCCAGAAAAACAACTAAATGAAGTGGAGATAGGCAACCTTCCAGAAAAAGAATTCCAAATAATCATAGTGAAGATGATCCAGGACCTCGGATAAAGAATGGAGGCAAAGGTCGAGAAGATGCAAGACATCTTTAACAAAGACCTAGAAGAATTAAAGAACAAACAAACAGAGATGAATAATACAATAACAGAATTGAAAAATACACTAGAAGGAATCAACAGCAGTATAACTGAGGCAGAAGAACGGATAAGTGACCTGGAAGACAGAACAGTGGAATTCACTGCTGCAGAACAGAATAAAGAAAAAAGAATGAAAAAAAATGAAGACAGCCTAAGAGACCTCTGGGACAACGTTAAACACAACAACATTCTCATTATAGGGGTCCCGGAGGAGAAGAGAGAGAGAAAGGACCCAAGAAAAT